AAAACATTAAAAAGTAAAATTTCACTAGTAATTAAGAGATAACTGAATTAAAATAACTAAATTTTACTCTTCACCTGTCAATTCAGTAAAGATACATTATCAAAGACTGTTATGTCTTATATCTAGCTGTCCCCTCAAAGCCTCATTTGGTGATAGATGGGGATTTTTGGAGGTGGCTAGATCTAGAGTGATGTTGGGAAAATGGGTAACCCACCCTGGGTATGAGTGCAACCCCTTCAAAGGCAAGTAGACTGGATAGAATATAAGGAACAGAAAAAAGACTTGCTACTGCTGCTCCCGCTGCCGCCACTGCTCTCCATGTGTTGCTTTCTGCCTGTCCCGCCACGCATGGACAGGTTTTCCTCTGAGATGCGCCTCTCCCATGCCACATTGCCTCAGAGCCAGCCGACTATACACAGAAACCCCTCTCAACTGTGAGCCAAATAAACCTTTACTTCCTTAACTTGTGGATGTCAGGTATTTTGTCAAGGCAAGGAGAAAAGTAAGACAGGCAGGAAGGAGGAGATGTACACATACAGTACTGATATAAATGTAAGTTAGATTTACATTTCTCTTTCCAGAAATATGGTGGATAATATCTGTTAAGAGTCTTAAAAATAGTCACACCTAACTGGTGGATGAGTACCTGGAATTTTACTATTCCCTTTAATTATGATTATTTTTAAATATTCTTAGTAATATTTTTCTAACTAATCAAAGGAAAAAACAGTTGATATACTTTGATTCTGTAATCCTAGTGCTACAGGTTAACCTTAGGAAATAATCATAACTGTGGCTAAATACTGCATATAAAGATGTCTAATATAAATACTGACAGTGAAATAATCTTAGAAATGCAGATGGAGAGGCTACACACATCAAGTATGGTATCCCCAATGTTAGCCAGGCATGGTAGTACATGCCTGCAATTCCAGCACTTAGGAGGCTTGCTGTTAGTGTGATGCCACCCTGGGATACATAAGTGAGTTCAAGGCTAGCCTATGCTACACAGTGAGATTCTGCCTCAAAAAAAAAAAAAAAAAATTGTTTAAGAAATTCATGTTGGCAATAATTTTTATAGGAAATTCACATAATATAATTGTACAAAAGCACAGGATATAGGGCAGTAAGAATAGAATGACAGTTGAGCTTTATTTCTATACATGCATATAGAAGACTACATGAAAAAATTACTATAGAAATTATCCAATTATCACTTAGTTGTGAGAATAATTTTTTAGTATGTCTTTAATTTTAATTTTCTACATTAAACATGCACATATATTACAATCAAAAAAAAAAAAAACAAAAAACAGGGGCCAGGGAGATGGCTCAGTAGAATAAGCGCCTGCCTGGCAAGGCCCTGTGTTCAATCCCCAGTTCCGCAGAAAAAAACCAGACATTTTTATTTTTTTGAGACAGGGTCTCACTATGAAATTTAGGCTAACTTTGAATTCACTATGTAGCCCAGGGTGGCCTCAAGCTCACTCTCCTGCCTCAGTCTCCTAAGTGCTAGGACTACAGGCATATGCTACCATACCTGGTTAAAAGCACTTAAGGGCTGGCCAGATAGCTCAACAGCTTAAAGCTTAAAGCACCTGCTTAAGCAGATGCAGGGCCCTGGGTTTGATCCCCGGTGTGCCATGCCAGCCCCGCCCCTGGGGTGCACTGAGATTGCAATTAAAACTGGACATGGTGGCATGCTCCTATAATCCCAACAATAAAGATTATTTATCCTTATTACCTAACACATATCATTGTGGCATGCTGAAAACAAGAAGATCACTACGAGTCATACCTGTGTAATGAGACCCTACAGACCCTGTACTAAATACATTTTTTAAAAAAAGCACTTAAAGAACACATGATAAATATTACTTGTGTAACCAAAAATTTTAAGTTATTTAGTAGTATTAATTGGCTTGCTAGGTGTATTGGTAATGTTATAAAAGTTACAATGAAAAAAGAAAGTAAACTTCTGCTCACCTATCAAAATTGGCTGTTTATTCTAAAAAAAGAGAAAAAAAAAGGTCTGAAGTATAGCTCAATGGTAGAGGACTAACCTAACACAGTTTTGGGTTCTGACTGTCCAGTACCACAAAAGATAAATAAAACTTTAAAAAATCTTAACAAGCCATATTATTCCTAAAATGATTTAAAAGTTAAAATATAGTATGTAACATCAATAACCTAAATTAAAAGAAGGTAAAAAGATTCAATAATGGAAAAATAAGGATTGGGAAATGGAGCATGTACAGAAGTTAACCTATCAAATAAGTATCAGAGTTCTATACTCTTGTTAAGGGTTGGTTACAGTCTGGCTTTAAACTCTAGAACCACACAATGTTCAGAAACATAATTTAGAACGAGGGGTGGTGGTGCATGCCTGTAATCCCAGCACTTGAGAGGCTGAGGTAGGAGGATCACTGTAAATTAAAGCCAGCCTAGGATGCTTACATGAATTCAATGTCAACCTGTACGACATATAACGAGACCCTGTCTCCAAAACAAAACAAAACAAAATGCCCACACACAAGGGCCAGCCAAAGAGCTCAGTGGATTAAAGCACTTGCAAGCAGAAGCAGGGGCTGGGGGTTTGATCCCTGGGCCTGCCATGCCGGCCCCACCCCCAGGGAGTGCAGAGATAGCAAGTGAGACTGGGCGTGGTGGTGCACACGTATAATCCCAGCTCTTGGGAGGCTATAAATAGGCAGATCACTATGAGTCTGATCTAGTAGTGAGACCCTGAACACCCTGTAGACCCTCTCCTAAAAAAAAAAAAAAAAAAAAAAAAAAACACTCCCCCACACACAATTTTGATTTTTCCTTAAGCTAATCATTTGAAAAAGCATAAATATGGACAAGTGAGATAGCTCAGCAGACTAAGTGCCTCCTTAGGCAAGCACAGGTACCAAGGTTCAATCTCCAGCAGCACAGGCCCCATCGGCCCCACCCACCAGGCACACTGTGCCAGCCACCAAGATACCTATAATCCCAGCACTGGGGAAGCTGAAAACAGGAGGATCACTATGAGTCTGAGTTGCATAGTAAGACCTTGTACTAAACACATTTTTTTTAAAAAGCATATAGGGGTTGGAGAGATGGCTCAGTGGTCTAAAGCACCTACTTGAAACAAGCTTGGCAAAGCACAGGGACCGCGGTTCGATCCCCAGCACCACATGCCAGCCAGACCCGCCCCCTGGTGGGCTGAGCTGGCCACACACAATAAATAAATGTAATAAATAAAAAAATAAATAAATATTAAAAAAAAGTGTTCTTCTTTAAAAAAAATAAAAAATAAAAAAAAAAATAAAAAGCATATAAATATTCCTGGTTTTAAGAAATTTCTCTTTTAAAAAAAAGAAATTTCTCCTATAATTTGTATGAAATATATTCTGAGTAACAAGGAATAACCTCAAAAACTTTAATAGATAAAGTAGTTCAATGACCTAACACAGGTTAACAGCATCTCTTCTTTTTTTTTTTGGCAGAACCGAGGATTGAACTCAAGACCTTACTGAGCCATCTCCCCGGCCCAGCATCTGTTCTTAAAGTCCAGTTTCGCTTCCTAAGATGCTACTGTTACAGCACAAATCCTTAAATACCCAGATTATTCCCTAACCATTTTTGTATCACCACCATTTTTCACAGTGCCCACACAGAATAGACATGTATTTTGTTTTTTTTTGTTTTTTGTTTTTTTTTTGGCAGAACCGGGGATTGAACTCAGGTCCTTGTGCTTGCCAGGGAAGTGCTTATTCCACTGAGCCATCTCCCCGGCCCCTAGACATGTATTTTGTTCAGTGAACTAAATACCATACTCCAATCTACTTCCAGGTAAAACATGACCTCAAAGTTATAAAAATGAAGATTAAATATCCTTGCTCATAAATTTCTAAAAGTATTTTCTTATATATAGTTTAAACTGGAAGAGAAATGAACAGTTGCACAGACAGGAAATGGCAATACAAAATTAACATAAAAATGCTATGTCCTGCACTACTGTACCGATAACTTCATAAACATTCTCCAAATTTTTTTCAAAAGGCTTTCTATGCAGGCGCGGTGGTATATACGCCTCTAATCCCAGCTACACTAAAGGCTGAAGCAGGCAGGACTCCAAGTTTGAGGTGTGGGCAACTTAGTGAGATCTTAGCTCAGCAGAATAAGTGCTTGCCTAGAGCCTGAGTTCAATCCCTGGTTCCGGGGGGAAAAAAAAAAAACCTTAGTGAGATCTTGTCCTAAAATAGAATAAAAAGGGCTGGGATGTACTTTAGTGGTACAGTGCCTGAGTTCAATAGCCAGTACCACCAAAAATTTAAAAAATTAAAGAGGCTTTCTAACATAAAAAGCTAGAGACCCTATTATATAGTTATTATGTATCACGGCCTATGATTTGAAACAGTGCTGTGATTATGAAAGTAAAAATGGTCAAAATGCTGTCAAACCTTGACATGTCAAGCCATGTCCTCTTGTTATACTGAAGAGGATGTGATATAGTTAATAAAACAAATGTTTCCTGGGGCTGGGGAGATAGCTCGACAGTCTCAGCGCCTGCTGGCAAGTATAAGCACTGGGTTCAATCCCAGGTACCCTGTGCTGGGGAGGCTGAGACAGGAGGATCACTACAAGTCCAAGCTGCATAGCAAGACCCTGCATCAAATAAATAAATACGTAATTTTTTTTTAATTAAAAAAAAGTTTCCATCATACTTCTATCAGAACAATATCATACTTAAAATAAAAACAAAATGTTAATACCTCCTATATTCTGCTCCTCTGAAAAGGTTTAAAGGGTTTCTCCATACTTTGCATTCTGAAAAACAAGAGACAAAATGAAAGTTTATTCAAAGTTAAATCTTTATTTAACCAAATTTACTGTTTACCTACTGTATGCTAAGCACTGAGGGTACAGAGACAAAAGAAGCACAAATGATCCCTGCACTCAAGAACACAAATCTAGTCCCTTATTACTGTCTCCACAGTATAAATTCATAACTCAGTTTTAGTACTTACGGTATTACAAATATTATAAACTTACAATATCACAAATATGAAATTTTTTTTAAACAGTGAATTTTATTTATTTATTTTTTGTGGAAAGGGGAATTGAACTCAGGCCCTTCTACTGAGCCATCTCTCCAGCCCCTGAACTCTTTTAAAATGTTCACTTTTATATTCATAGAGCCTATCACATCATCTGGAACTGACTTGTTAAATTAAATATACTAGGGCCAGGGAGACAGCTCAGTAGAATAAATGCTTGCCTAGCAAACACAGCATCCTGAGTTCAATCCCCGGCACTGCAAAAAATAATAATAATTAATTAATTAATTAAATATACTGAGAGCTGGTCACATCAACAATGGACTGCAGTATGTGACAAGTGCTGTAGCAAAGGCATGTTCTGCTCCAAGACCAAAAAAAGAAGCAATTTTTCTCTGGGGAAACCAGGGAAGACTACAAAGTAGTGGTGACGTGTACTGACAGTGAATCACCATAAAAGATGAGCAGAAGGCTGTGAGATGAAGAACATTCCAGAGGAAGCATAAAACTGCACAGCAGCAAGGCGTGGTGCTACAGGCCCATAATTCCAGTACTTTGAGACACTGACGAAAGGATCACAAGTTTGGAACAGGCCTGTAAATTAGTAAGTCGGTGAGACCCTGTCTCAATATAAAAAATAAAAAAGGGCTAGAACTATTGCTCAGTGCAAAGGCCCTGTTTTCAATTCCCAGTACCATGAAACACAAAACAACAAAACTGTACAGAATGCTTGATTTTTCTTTTGCAATAAAATGTATTAATATTTAAGATACATATATCTCACTAAAAAATTATTTTCCAAATAATCAGTGTGATGTTCTAATATTACGCAGATGAGATTTATTCAAAATGTAAGGTGCATGAATATTAATAATAAATGCAAAGTTCAGATCTTACATCGAAACAAAATGTTCAAAAAGTATTCTTTAGCAAGTTTTGATATAAAGATTATCCATAATTTTCTGAAAAGGCTATTAAAACTCTTTCTCCCTCTTCTAACTATATGTCTGTGTGAAACCACATTTTGCTCATAAACTTCAATGAAAATAATATAACAAACAGGATGAAAACAGGATGAAAGTAAACTGTCTTCTATTAATGGATTTAAACAAAAGTAAAATACTTCCAGTCTCCTGTTTCTTCTTTTGAAAAATTTTTTGTTTTATGATATGTGTATTAGTTACCTTGGACTGCCATTAAAAAAAAAAAAAAATACTGCAGACCATATAGCTTAAACACACTTGGAAGGGCTGAGTCTTTTTTAAAGACAGCACACATTTGTAGCTGAATAGCCCCATGGTCCTGTCCTGAAGAATCTGCTATTCTATTGCTATTCGATCCTCTCTCTGAGTGTGCATTCCTGCATGTGTGCACATGGGGCATGTGTGTGCGTGTGTGTGCTTGTGTTTACTGGGCATTGATACTGAACTGTCCCCAGCTCTCTTTTTGAGACAGGGTCTTGCTTAATCATTAAGTTGCCCAGGTTTGGTTTGAACTTATCTTTTTGCCTCAGTCTTCCAGAGAGCTAGGGTTATAGGTGTGTGCCACTGCGCCTGGTTTTGATTCCTTTTCTGTTTAACATTTCCTTCTTCAATCTGTATTTTCTCTTTCACAAATTTACTGTAAGTAGTTAAGAGGAAACAAGCTGCTACTTCCACTTTGTTTGGAAATATTCTCAGCTATATATCCAATTTCGCTGTGTCAAATTCCACCACCCACAAAATGCAGAACAAAGTTTTGTTCACTCTATAACAAGGATCACTTTTCCTCTAGTTTCCTATAACACACTCTTCGTCACCACCTGAGATCTCTCCAGAATCCTCATAAATGTGCATATCTCAGGTATGTCCCTCAAAACTCTTGCAGACTCTACCTATAACCCAATTTTACAGCCATTTCCATATTTTGAAGCATTTGTTTTGGTATACTACTCTTCTTGGTACCAAAATCTGTACCAGTCAATTCAAGTTGCCATAATAAAAGGGATTAAGCAATAAGAAATGTATTTTCATAAAACCTAGAGATTAATGGTCGAAGACTTTGGTAAGGATTCTCTTCATGGCTTGCAAATAGCATTCTTGCTGAGTCCTTGCATGGTGGACAGAGATCTCTATTTTTATAAGGTAACCAATCCTAAAAGATTAAGAGTCTACCCATATAATCTCATTTAACCTTAACTACCTCCTAGAAGTTACACTGGAGGTTGAAACTACAACAAATTAATTTGGAATTCAGTTTATACCAGCCAGGCATGGTGGCACATGACTCTAATCCTAGCATTCAGAAGGCTGAGACAGGAAGATTGCTATGAGTTCAAGCCAGCACCAACTGCATAGAGAAACTGTCTCAGGAAAAAAAAAAACAAAAAACAGAATTCAGTTTATAAGAATATGTTAATATGTAATGGCTTATTACTTTTAAAATTTAATAAATTTTGAAATTTCTGCTTTAACTTTTAGTACTATCATTATGAACATAACTCATATATAAACATAGGTTATTCAATAGGCCTTCAATAATTTGTGTAAAGAATTTGAGCCAGTTCTACAAAGTTAGACCCCATCTCAGGTCAGGGAGATAGCACAGCAGTCTAAGCGCCTGCCTGGCAAACCAAGGACCCAGGCTTGATCTCTGGTACTGTACCATGCTGGCCCAGAACCTCGGGTGTGCCAGAGACCCTGTACCAAATAAATAAAAAATAAAAAAAGATTACAAAAAAGTTAGACCCCATCCCCCTAAAAAAAATTCCTGTATCAAAAACGTTTCAGAACTTCTTTCCCCCCAAATCCAGGGCCTCAATTTATATATGCTAAGCAAGCACTCTACTGGTGAGTTAAATCATAAGCCTGTTTTCATTCCATTTTATTTGTGCCATTAAAATGCCCAGGCTGATGTGAAACTTCTGATCCTCCTGCTTCAGTTTCCTGAGAAACTGGGACTATAGGCATGTACTATCACACCAGTAAAAATCATTTTTTTTTTTTTTAAATTTTTTTAAATTTTTATTTATTTATGTGTGTGTGTGTGTGGCCAGCTCAGCCCACCAGGGGGCGGGGCTGGC